AAATATAAATTGTCTAAATATAAATAAAAATCAATTCAACATAAATAACTAAACCAACAATTAACAAATTTGTTCCAAACATAAACAAAGATTAATCCAAGTTAACTAAAACATAAGCAAAAATTAAACCAACAATGGAGGGGAAGGTGAAAATGAAAATTGAGAAATGAATTAGGGTTAAGGTTAAATGTAAGTAGGGGAATGAATTGGGTTAATTTTTATGGATTGGGTTGAGTTGGGTTAGGTAAAATTGGGTTAAGTTTAACTTTGATTAAATTGAATTTGAACTTGAGTTTGGATTTGAGTTTGAAAGATAAATTAAATTTAAAATAAAATTAATTTATATTTGTTTTAATTTTTGCTGGGATGGGGATCCCCGCGAGGCCTCATGGGACAAGAAAAATTCCTTGCGAAATTTCATGAGGGGAAAATGCTCTCGATCTCCGCCCCACGGTGAGGAATATTCCTTCCCACCCCATCCCCGTGACGAGGATCCTCACGAGGCCCCATGAAAATCGGGGAAAATTGTCATCCCTAACTCAAATCATGTGGTATTTTTTATATTTTTTTTTTAATGACATGGGCAACACAACTTAAAAAAATTGCTGACAAATTAAAAATTATGCCATGTCATTTTCCCACCAACCAAACACACCAAAAACATGTAAACCCTACAATTAAAGGGGAAAATATCGTGGCTATTTTGTAAACCCTAAAATCTTCAATGCATAACAATTTTGCAGGTATTCGACCATTTTTTATAGACATTATTCTAAATCTATTTACAACAAACTCGTTATCAATTTTAACACAAGTGTTTGGCAAAATAAAAAAAATTTGGTGTTCTCCTTTGAATACTTCTTTGGCAGAAAACTTCTATAATGATTCCAAGGGAAAATTAGAGAATTCAAACAAGCAAAATCCAGATATCTCATTTCAAAATCCAAACAAAACTATGAATTCAGTACTGTAAAGTTCTTCTTCAACAATGCAAAAGCAATGAAAGCACCCTTTGTAAAACCCAGAAATCTGGGTTCCCACAAACCTAATTCCAACCCAGATTTGGGTTTGTCTGAACCCAATTCATTTAGACACACGCAAACTCAAATCTGAGTTCATTCAAATCTAATTCATCTAGCTAGGTTTCACGTGAACCCAAATATGCTGGGTTTGATGAAAGAGCATGTAGAGGAGAGGAGAGGGGAAAAAAGAAGGGGATAGATGATCGGAGAAGGTAGAAGGGAGGATTTCAAGAGTAGATTTGTAAGAACCCAGAATTCTTGGTTTCAAAATCCATAAATTTGGGTTTGTACAAATCCAAATCTAGCCCAGATCTAGGAAGAATGAGGAAATGGAAGGGATAAAAGCGAAAGGAGGAAGAGAAAAAGAAAGAGATCGAAGAAGGTAGAAGCGAAAGAGTGCCAAAGAAAAGAGAGGGAAAGGGAGGAAGAATTAAACGACGATGTTGAGGAAAATGAACGAAGATACAAAAAACGAGGATTGGGGAAGAAGATGAAGAAGATAGGGGTACAAGTGTAATTTTAAAATATTTTTAATATTAAACAATTACAATGAGTTTGGGAATGAGATTTGACTTCCCCTTTTTTTTTATCCATATAAGCAGATTGTCTACTGTGTCATCGCCATTTCATAAAAAAAATGCCATCTTGAATAAATTTAATAGTCACGTTGGCAATTAACCAAAGGATGATTAAAATTATGTAATTTTTAAAATTGAACGATTAAAAGAATAGAAAAAATAATTAAAAAATACAATTATATAAAGTTGAGATATCAAAATTAACATTTAAATAAATATAAAAACCCACTAGTTTGATATGTTAAAAAAAAAATTAATTACGCTCTTATTCTTACTCCCTCTGTTGAATTTTTTTTATTTAAGATTTGTTCTAAAATAATAGTTACCTTTTAAAATATAAAAGAGACAAGTATTTTTTTCTTATTTTAATGTTATAATTATTATTTTTATTTTAATTATCCATCTTATCATAATTTAAATTTCATTACTTTTATTTTTTTAAGGTAATATGGATTAAAAATATAAATTGTCCCCAAATTCTTACTATGGAGATAAAATCCAAAAATCTCAATTATTCTAGGGTAAAGAAAGTAGTTAAGGAATGATATGTGCAATAGCCAATACTAAACGAAAATTGATTATGTAGTAATATTTTTTTAAACTAAGTGAAAGTATAACTCCCGTTGTCTAAAATTAGTTGTTTTAATTTTTACACACATCTAATAGAAAATAAATAAAAGTTGAAAGATTTTTCTCATATAATTTTTGCTATATAATTATATTTAATAAAAAAATTTATTTAATATTAATTTACTACAATATATAAAAATTATTAATAATTACTAACAACTCTAGTAACTCATTAACTATCTCTTATAAAAATAAGAAATTTTATATTCAAATTATATAATATGATACGATTGAAAATATAAAAAATAGTGGAATACCTTAATGCATGGTAAAAGCTAACGATGAGATAGTTGTGACTGTAAATATTCAGATAATGAAGATGAATTGAATTGAAAATTAAAAAGAAAGGTGTCACTAACAAATTTATAAATCCAAAAATATGAAAACTAAATTAAAATTTATGATAAAAGTAGGCGACCTTACATGTATCCTACCCAACATTTCTTATGTTCTATCTTTTTCTTTCTCAAATGGTTAGCTTATGTTTTGGTGAGAAACAAAGAACAAGTCCCAAGGAGACTTAATTGATTAAAACTAAACTTGATATCAAGTTTGAATCTTTAATTAATTGGGAAGATATTTGAAAAAGAAAATGCCTACAACTTATCATTTGATGCCCAAAAAAAAAATTGCTTATTACAAAAAAAGCAAAGATTAAGATGCAGCAAAGAAATACCAAAGGAATAATATAGATCCTTACAAAGATTTGAAAGGCAAAATTACACAGATAAAAAATAAACAATTTCACTTAGAATTTGGACATATTTAAACACACGGCACAACCAAAAAAAAAAAAGAGAAGACAAACAAAAACAAAAAACAGCAAGTGCGTCTATATTAAATTGAAAACCCAACAACAATAACAGGTGGAAGCAAACGTGATTTCCTCCAGCTTTCAAAGTGGTGACAAAATCCAACTCCAGCTTTGCTGCCAATGGAAAAAAAAAACAAAAGATATTAAAAAAAAAAGACGAATGAAAGATTTGTTGAGATAGAAAGGAAGAAAGAAAGCATAAAAAATTAAAAACTCCTACTGAGTTGAATCAAAATCAAAATCAAAATAAAAAATAAAATATTGAAGCTAATTTGCACTAAGCATAAAAAGGCTTACATTTGCACTGCCCAATCACCAAAGAGCCTGCACTACTTTGCTCCTTAGCCCATCCTAAGAGATTCTTCTTCTTCTTCATCATCATCATCTTCATTGTTGTCATCACCAGACATTTCTTCTTCCTCTTCAATGTCAATGTTGCTGTCATTGAGAAATTTACAATAGGTAGAAAGGACAACCTTTGCCTTGGATTGGTCCCATTCCAATGATTCCCAATGTTCTTTTGTGTCTACCTCAATTTCTTTGAGAGAAGAAGGTTGGCCATTGTCGAGCGAGGAAAGATGTAGAGGAATCCTCTTTAGCTTTTTACAGTTGCTAATCAGCAGACGATTGATGGAATCACAAATCAAGACACTGGAACTGCTACAGATGCTCTTCAATTCACGCAACTGCATCAATTTCAAACATTGTAAGTTGGGTAAAGTGATTTTTTCTGGGGCTTCTTTTTCTTCATAGGTCGATGATGATATCAACTCCTCCATTTGACGACAAGCTCCAACCTTAATGATCTTTAGATTCTGGAGATACCGTAACAGCCTAAGCGGCCATAACTTCTTTATTTTTCTACATCTATAAACTTCAATTTTTTGAAGAGACAAAAAGGTGCCAGCTGGCAACGGTGCTGACTTGGCAACTGCTTCTACTACCCCAACCACTGCATTCAATTCTTTCAGAGAAAAAAGGTATAGCGACTCAAGGTTTTGGAGCAACTTTAAGCAGTGCGAGGAAACAACAAACTCCATGCCATCACATGCATCAACGGTGCAATGTCGCAAGTCGATTGCTTCTTTAAGGCCAGAAATGTCGTCCAAGCTTCTCACATCCTTGCAGTCCTTGATGTAGAAGTTTTGTACATCAGATGGTAACCAATTAGGCTTCTCACATAAATCAATATCATAGCATACAATTGATTTCACAACATTTAAAAAGGTCTTCATATAACAGCAAGCATAATTAGCATCATCGGAACTGCAGTTTCCAACCAAAATTCTGTATTGTTTTAACTTTCTTTCAGACTTAACAAGGAGGCTCATATCATCCAGCGTGGACAACCAACAATAAAGAGATTCCAACTTCCTCAATCTTCCAACCTCCTCCCATTTCAATGGTGTAGTCCCACCAACTACTAGATACTGAAGTTTGGAGAGATTTTGTAGCAATCCGTCAGGTATATAAGATCCATAAGACGGTACATCAAACCAAAAATATTCTAGATTGGTTAGCATGTTGAGGCCTTGGGGTAGTTCTCTAATTACTGTCTCATAAAAGCTTAACTTTTTTAACTCTCCAAGGTTAGATAAAGATGGCACCTCTAGTGAGAGACCACAATTGTCCAACAGTAGTGTCGTAAGGCTCTCTAATTTAGAAATAGAACTCGGCAGCCTACATAGGTGGTAATTGCCAGAAAGATCAAGGATCTTTAGCTTAGGCATATGATCAAAGAAGGCTTCTGGAATTGTTGTAATATTGTTTTCGGACAACAACAAGGTTGTGAGCATTGGACACTTGAGAGACAACATACTTGAAGGAAATTCTCTTATTTGACTCTTCATTAGAGAAATCTTCAAAAGATCTTTTCTCCCTTCAACCTCCTTTGGTAGCTCTTCCAAGGCCACGCCAGCTTTCACCATGAATTGAGGAATAATCTTCAATGCCATATCTCGAAGAAGATCATGCACACTCACTCGATCTTCTTTGTTTTTATGATTAACCACATTTCCCAGATAAAAATCACCTATTACATATTTTCTTTTAACCGATTCCAACATGCAATAGTCTACCAACTTCTGAATAATAGAATGGCCCTCACAAATCATTGAGTGCCGAGACCCACTTTCATCTTCAATAAATCCCTCCTCAATCCAAAACTCAATCAACTCCTCTATTTGGATTTCATGATCTTCAGGATACAATGCACAGTATAAAAAACAATTCTTGGATTGTTCTTCTAAGTGATCATAACTGAATTTCAAACAATAATCAACTTCTTCAGATTTCCTCAATTCTTTATCTGCCCTCTCCCATAAGTAACGATCAAACTTTCCTCTCATGGTTTTTGCCACCACCACAATAGCAAGGGGTAGACCATTACATTTCTTCAAAATCTGATTCAAAAAAGGTTCTATATCACTTTTGTATCTGGGATAGGACACCACCTCACTTCCAACTTTGTCCAAGAATAATGCTAACGCTTCATCATTTGGAAGAGGCATCACAGGGATCACCTCACACTCCATTGCACGACCAACCTCTTGTTGTAACCGTGTCGTTAGCACTAACTTACAACCATCAGGGATTCCAACATGTTTTATAGAGAAAGACTCCCACACATCATCTAGAATTAAGACATGACTACCTTGTTGCAATCTATCTGCTATTAGTCCTGCAAGCTCTATTTCATCTTGATCTGCATTCTTCAAATCTAATTGCAATTTTCTTGCAATGCTCTTCTGAAACTTGAGCATATCAAACTGTTTTTTTTGCTGGACAACAACATCGAAGTCCTTTGATACTTTAACCCAAATTACTTGCTTGGAATCTTTCAATAATTGGCTGTAGACTTGCTGCATGATAGTTGTCTTGCCCACGCCACCCATTCCGCAAACTGCAATTCTTGTAATCTTGTCTCCCCTCAATAGTTGCAGAATTTCTTCTTGTACATCATCCCGTGCAATGCATTTTTCAGCAAGCATTGTAATTCCTTTTTTTGATGGATCATCTATGACCAAACTCACACCAAAATTAGTGAATTTTCTTCCTTCCTCAAGTATTTGCCTCAATTCTTCAATCTTTTTCCCGATGTTGGTTGATGAGGAGCATTCCCCCTGGCTGATCAGATCTTCAACCTTTTTCTCAATGTTGGTTGATGAGGAGCATTCCCCTTGGCTGATCAGATCTTCAACCTTCATGGTAATCATTTGGCTTGCTTTCTTCAACCAGTCTTTAACACTGTTCCAAGCAATCTTTCCAGGTTGCCGCCTAAGCTGAGCCATCAATTCTGCCTCAACTTTTTCCTTTAAGTGCTTCACCTCCTTTTGCTTGTCCTCAAATACACGCACACGAGACTGGATTGAATGATCATCCATGACCAAAATCGCACCAGTATTAGTGTATTTTTCCCCTTGCTTAAGTATCCCCACTTCCAGTGCTTGAGTCTCTTTATCGAGCTTTCTTGATGAGCAAATATATGTGAAACAACCCCCTTTGCAGATCAGATCATCAATCACCTTTTTAGCAATTTCTTGGCGCGCATTCTCCAGCCAAGTTTTAACTTCCGGATTTTCAATCTTTTCCGGCTGCTCAAGCTGTGTCCTCAAGTTTGCGTCAACGACAGCTACTCGGTTCACCAACTCCCCTTGCATTGTTTTGAAATCACTCACATATTTGTTGTGATATATCTGATACTTCACATATCGCCTAATTGTAGGGCCAAAATCCTTCACACAACCAATGACTAAATTTGCAATCTCCATATGCGAGTCCCTACATAAATATATGAAATTGTTGGCAGGGGGAGAAAATGTATGTTTTGATATACATTCGGGAAGGATCATACAATTAATAAGAGAAACAAACTAAATAGGTTTGAATAAATTAAATGTGTTATATACTTTAAGATATTAAAAAACCTAAAAACTTGGAACAACAGCTAGAACCCGACACTCTCAGGGGGAATCTAACCTACAAATTAATAGTGTGAAATGAATGACTAGTTTAAGTATAGAAGCCCACTAGTTTCCTACGTTAAAAAAATAAATAAATTAGTTTCCTATTCTTACTCCCCTCTGTTGAATTTTTTTATTTAAGATTTGTTTTAAAATTAGTCATTTTTTCATATTAAGAGAAACAAGTATTTTCTTTTTTATTTTAATATTATATTATTATTTTTAATTTAATTATCCAACCTATCATAATTTAAATTTCATTATTTTTATTTCTTTTTAAGGTGTAATATGGATTCAAAATATAAACTGTCCCCAAATCCTTAAATATGAAAATAAAATCAAAAAATGTCTATTATTTTAGGATTAAGAAAGTAATTATGGAATGATATGTGCAATACTAAACTAAAATTATGTAGTAATATTTTTTTAAACTAAATTAAAATATTAGTTCCCTTGTCTAAAATTTGGTTGTTTTATTTTTTACCCACATCTAATAGAATATAAAAAAAATTAAAAGACTTGTCTCGTACAAGTTTTGTTAAATAATTTTATTTAATAAAAGAAAATTTATTTATTAATAATTTACTACAATATATAAAAATAATTAGTAGTTACTAACAATTCAAGTAACTCATTATTAATCTCTTGTAAAAATAAAAAATTTTATATTTAAATTATGTGACCTATTTTACTTGAGCTTTTTAATACTGTTTATAAATCATAAGTTTAAATTTTAATTAAATAAAAAATTTGAAAGTTCTTAAAAATATTAAGAAGTGAATAAAAAATGAAGAAAAAAACTTACAGAAGCAAAATTTTGATTAAAAAATGAGAAAAAAAATTTACAAAAGCAAAAATTTGAAATTTTTAAAATTTACTATTTTTAAGATTAAAAAAATTAAAAAATTTAAATTATGAGACATAAATAATATCAAAAAACTAAAACACTTACAAATTTCGCCAAATATGCTCCTAATATTATAGAATTGCAAATACAAAAACTAGTGAAGTAACTTAGTTAATGCATGGTAAAAGTTTACGATGAGATAGTTGTGACTGTAAATATTAGGTTAAATACCCTTTTTGGTCCCTCTACTATAGCAAAAAGCCCCTTTTTAATCCCTATACCGAAAAAATCCCTTTTTTGGTCCTTACTATTTGAAATCCGACCCTTTTTTAGTCCCTCCGTTAAATTTTTGTTGATGTGGCAGGTTAATTAACAGAATCATTTGATTATTTTTTATACAAATAATATCATAAATGAGGTGGAAATTATGTGGATGCCACCTATGCAAATTAAAATTTTTAATTTTTAATTCATCGATTAAATGAATTTAAATAGGATTAATTTTAATTTTTTAATCGTTTTTGTCTTCTTCTTTGTTAACATTGATAAATTTCTAGGCCTGAAGCAATGTGGGAATAGTTGTAGATTACGCTGACCTTCTTTCTCCTTATCCTTGGCATCATACTCATCCTCACCAGCTGCTAGGCTCTTTGCAGGTTGGCGAACCTAGTTTGGGTTTTTCACGGAACCCTTTTGTTGGGTTCACAGAACCCAGTTGCTGGGTTAGTGGAACCCAGATCTGGATTCCGCGATGCTTGGTTCGTGGAACCCAGATCTGGGTTCCGAGAAGAACCCAGCTGCTGGGTTCCGCGAAGCACCCAGCTGCTGGGTTCCGCGAAGCACCCAGCTGCTGGGTTCCGCGAAGCACCCAGCTGCTGGGTTCCGCGAAGCACCCAGCTACTCGGTTCCGCGAAAAACCCAGTTGCTGGGTTCGCAAAACCCAGATCTGGGTTCCGCGACGCAAAACCCAGTTTCTGGGTTCCTTGCTTGCTGGGTTCAAGGAACATTGCTGGGTTCGCAGAACTTGATTTTTGGGTTCCTTGCTTGCTGGGTTACTGGGTTCAAATAACCCAGTTTCTGCTACATTGAGGCATTGTTTTTTGCTAGATCAGATTTTGATGTTTAGATCTTATTTTTGTGATTTTTGTTCAATTTTATTAAGAATGTGACTCGATCGTGTGTGATTATTGGTAATTCTACTGCATTATTGGTCTATCTCATTTGTAAAACAATTTTGATGAGACATCGAGAAATTTGAGGATAATTTCTCATTTTTTTGGGTTTTGCAAGCAACCCAGAAAATTAGGTTCGAGGAATCCAGCAAGAGGGTTCTGCAAGCAACCTAGAAACTGGGTTCGTGGAACCCAACAAGGGGATTCTGCGAGTAACCTAGGATGATGAAGAGGATGACGAGCAAGATGCTGATGACATGATGCCGAGGATGAAGATGAGGACTAGGATAAGGATAAGGAGAAAGAAGAGATGAAGAAATTAAAATTAATCTTATTTAAATTCATTTAATTCATGAATTAAAATGTGTATAATTTTTAATTGAGGAGTGCTAGGGGCACTCGCCGCCTGCACTTTCCGGCCAACACTTTCACTTTTACTGGGCCATGTTATTTTGGTTTGGAAGATGTTGAATTACAAAGCAGGAAACAAACTTACGTGGCTCAATAATTTCCACGTCATTCTGCTTTGTACAGGTGGCATCCACATAATTTCCACCTCATTTATAATATTATTTGTATAAAAAATAATCAAATGATTCCGTTAGTTAACCTGTCACATCATCAAAAATTTAACGGAAGGACTAAAAAAAGGCCGAATTTCAAACAGTAAGGACCAAAAAAGTGATTTTTTCGGTCTAAGGACTAAAAAGGGACTTTTTGCTATAGTAGAGGGACCAAAAAAGGTATTTAACCTAAATATTAAGATAATGGAGATAAACTGAATTGAAAGTTCAAAGAAAAGTGTCACTGACAATTTTCTAAATCCAAAAAAATATGAAGACCAAATAAAAATTTATGATAAAAGTAGGCGACCTCACATGTACCTACCCAACTTTTCTTATGTTTCATCTTTTTCTTTCTCAATTGGTTAGCATATGTTCTTGGTAAGAAAGAAAAAAAGAAGTCCCAAGTAGACTTAATTGATTAAAACTAAACTTGATATCAAGTTTGAATCCTTAATTAATTGAGAAGATATTTGAAAAAAGAAAAATGCCTACAGGGCTATAACTTATCATTTGATGCCAAAAAAGAAAGAGGCACACAAAAGAATGCAATCTGGGAAGAAGAGAGACTCTTACAGCTTCTTCAATGTCAAATAGCAAGTTCCACTTATTGCTTGAAATAATTAATGTAAATCTATACTGTACTCCTTGGAGTACAGTATGGATTTCACCGAGATGATGCAATAGCTGGCGAAGGGTGCAAGCACAGATCATAAGTTGTACACTTGTACTATAACCAATACTACAAAATCATCTAAAAAAAAAATGAAAAGAAGGTAGACAGGGAGATGGACGTAAAATACTTAGAGAGTTTGCAACTAAGCATGTGTTGTTGATTGCTTCCTATTGATCTGGTTTTGAGATGTTCTCTAAATATGTAGAAAGAAAAAAAAAAAAGTCCAAAGAGACTTAATTGGTTAAAATTAAGCTTGATATTTAATTTGAAGGTGTTTAATTTAAATCTTTAATAAGTTGAAAAGGAATTTAACAAATAAAAAATTCATATAATTAGCATATGATGTAAACAATCAAAAAATGAAAAATGAAAAAAAAAAAAAAAAAGAAGCAATCTAGGAAGAAAGAAAAACTTTCACCTATTTAGTTGAGATATGCATCTTCTTCAATGTCAAATAGCAAATTCCACTTATTGCTTGAAATAATTAATGTAAATCTCACCAAGATGATGCAATACCTGCAGAAGGGTGCGAGCACAGATCTTAAGTTGTGCACCTTGTACAATTACCAATACTACAGAATCATCCAGAAATAGAAGAGAGAAGAATGTAGGCAGGCAGATGGAAGTGAATACTTACAGAGATTGTAACTAAGCATGTGTAGTTGATTGCATCCTCTCGGATCTGGCTCTAAGATTCTCTTAATTATATGCAGTAGATCATGTAGATCTGCTTTAGAATGATTTTATATAAATATCAAGACCAAAAGGAAAATGAAAATCAACTAAAGAAAGATACAGTAAGAAAAAAACAATAATGCCGTTGACGTGCCGTCAACCCTCCATCTTTGAGTCTATTGAGATGAGTGCAATGTTTCAAAATTTGAATAGAAGCGTATTTTAAGTGGTAGTATATAAATAATAAAAAAAATATAATGAATTATAAATGATATTAGATAATATCATATTAATTATTAAATAAGAATTGATCTTTTAATATTAAAAGTTTTTTATATAATATTTTTTATTTCATAATTTAATATAATTTAAATTATAAAATTTTGGTTCTACCAGCCAGTTTTTATTTTTATTTTTTTCATTGGATTAGTAGGTCCATACCTGGTTTTTCACAGAAAATATCACTAATTTCTGGTTGCCCTTTTCTACAAGTGAGAGCTTAGGGGTCCACAACACAAGTATCTACTTTCTATAGAAAAATCAGCATTTTTTTATTTGACTAAAATGACGAATCAGCCGCGTACTCCATCCGTGAAATCACTCATTTTTTGTTTTAAAAAATGAGAGCTTTAAGGATTAAGATGCAGCTAACTTTGTTTTCTAAAAAACAGTTTTTTAATCTTAGTGCAACACAAAAATATAATAAATATATTATTATTATTAATTTTTATTAAAAATATAAATTTTAATTTAATTAATTAATTAAAATTATTT